CGTTAGGTAGGAGGGCCTTCAACAATACAGACAGAAGTCCTTTCTTCATGGTGAGTCCTGTGGGGTTAATCATTAGACTCTTTAACTGAGGCATAAATGAAGAAATAGTTGTCTTCTAATTTTAAGTAGACTTTAATTTTTTTTAGGTCAGTTTTAGGTTGACAGTGAAACTGGGCAAAAATTTACAGGGTTGTCATATGGTCTCTGATCCTACTGAGGGCATCCCACACCAGAGTGATACCTTGTATATAACTAGTGACCCCACTTTGACACATCCTGGTCACCAGAAGTTAATAGTTGACATTAAGGTTCACTCTTGATGGTTTTTATTCCTTGGGTGGTGACCCGTGGACAGTGACACACATTTATCATCAGCGTATCAAACAGAATGGTCCACTGCCATAAAAAGGCTGTGCTCTGCCCATCCGTCTTTCTATCTCTCTACCCCCAGCAACCACTCATCTGTCTGCGGTCTTCACAGTTTGGCTTTTCCTTGAATGGAATATAGTTGGAACCATATGTGTAGCCTTTTTAGCGTAGCTTCTTTTACTTAGGGATATGGATCTAGGGTTGCCCCATGCCTTTGGGGGGCTGGATCACTCATTTCTCTCAAATGCTGAAAAAATATTTCATTCTTGGAATGTACCACAACGTAATTATGTATGTATGCATGCATATATACATACATGCATATATACATATTTACATACATATATACTCTAAAAACCATCTCATTTGTTGGTAAGTTTTGGTCATTATGAATGGAACTTCTGTAGACACTAATGTGTAAAGTTTTTATACGTATAAATGTTCCTACTCATTTGGATAAAGGCCAGGTGTGATTCCCAAACTTGCATGCTTAACTTTGTAAAAATACAATTGCAAATTGTCTTCCAACGTGCTCTTGCTGCTTTTCTTTCCCACCAGTGAAAAGTGGGTGTTTCTTTTACTCCGCATCCTTGCCAGCATGTGGTATTGTCAGGTTTTTGGACTTTGGCCACTCTAATATGTACAAAGCTGTGTCTCACTTCTAATTTAATGTATAATCAATGACATATGATGTTGAACATTTGAAGTCTCAGACTCAACTCCCCCCCCCCAATTCCGTCAAATACACCACCTCCATCTGTTTTCTTCAGTGCTGGGAACCAAACCCTTGTAACAAGACAGGCAAACTTTCTACCATGGAGCCAGAGCCCTGTACTCTATTTTTGTAAAGCACAATGCTTTGTATTAAACTGATAAAATACAGTGAAACCAAACATCCTTTGGACCACATGAGTTCAGTTGCTCTTCGGGAAAAAAGACCTTGTCATATTGTTTTGCATATTACTTCCCAAACCAGTATAGTGGCTTTTTCTTAGTGTTTTACCAACTGCTTACTGAATATAGTGGGTTGGAGTGATCTCCCAAAACACAAGTCCAAATACTAAACCATGGAACACACGAGTATTATCTTTTAGGGAAGAGGGTTCTGATTGACATAGGAAATGGAGAATGTTGGGATGTTCATCTTAGGTCCTCAGAAGGGCAGAAGGGACAGACAGGGTGAAACCGACAAAGGGGAGGAAGCCATGTTACACCAGACTCAGAGACTGTGATGAGTTGGCCATTCATCAAGAAGTCCTCACAGCTACCCGAAACTGGAAAAAGCAAATAAGGGAGCGTCAGAGTGAGCCTGGATCAGCCGACTTCTGGTTTCAGACGTGTGACCTCATGCCCTAGGTGAGCTCCATCCACTTCCTGACTCTGCTCTTATCTATTCCGGACATTTATATGAACGGCATCATACAGTGTGTTTGGCTGTCTAAACAGCATACTAACACTTTCAGATTCTAACTGCATGGTGTAGATGTATTGGGTAACATAGCGTACTATACATGGGTTCTTTTAAACTTAACGTGCCTTGAATCCTTTAGACTTTATCATTGCTTGGGCATGTCTACACAAGAATACTGAACCTATCTTCTGTTTAGGGCATCCCAAGTGTGCCTAGTGCAGTTCCTGGGGCACAGAAGTGCCAGGCAGAAGACACAGACCCAACGGACAGCATTTGCCCCAACAATGACAAAACCTGATAAATTTCAAATAAGCCAGTTCCCAATACTCCTTCAGTTCATACTAACAGGAAATGCCTTGGAAATGCCCATGCATGTTCAAATTGTAGAGGCTTCAGACTAGAGTGCTGCATTAGACTTTTTACCTGGTGGAAACTTGAGGGTCACCTAAAACCAGTTATCACCAAGTGGTATGGTTCTGTTTATTAGAATGAAGTTAGCATCCCTAGCCTTCTCCCCATTCCATGCTAGTGGTACCTATGGTCACAGCGAACTTGGAGAGCATCCACGGATGCTGAGAACTAGTGGCTAATTCTTCTCACCCTGGAAAGCACTCTCACATACCTGGTAGTTTCTAGGGTCATATTCCTTCAATTTCTTTTCTCTGTCTTACTAGCATGATTTCCCCTACTTGTTGTTCTCCTGACAGTTATAGATCTACTCAATATTTTTATATTATTAAAAAGAAAAGCAACACAAACCAATTTTCAAATCTCTCTTCACTGCTGGCCTTCATTGTTGTGGTATCTCTCACCTAGATCCTGAAATATTTTCTTAATTGCTCTCTCACCAACCATTCCTGAGATCCCCAGCCTAGCTGGCTGTACCCTTGGTATCAAAGGGATCTGTTAGACATAGAGATATTGTTAGGAATTTTTATATTAATAGGAGCAGTTAGCTGTGCCACTTGCTTTGTCTGTGACTTCATTCTGCAGCATTGTTCGGAGCTTCATCTCTATTGTAAATATGTCAACAGCTCAGGTTTTTGTTTTTGCTTAGTAGTATTCAGTTGTATGATGACACCATATTTCACTCACCTTCTGGTGAAATTTAAGCTGTTTCCAGCTTGGAACTAGTATTTAAAAAAAATACCTGCAATGAACATTCATATGCAAACCTTTGTGTGGCATATGGTCTCATTTGTCTAGGGTGGTGTGTCTGGATCACATGGTGAAAGCATACTTAACATCCTTAGAGACTATCAGACTTTTCCAGAGTGGTTGTGTGTTTGGATTTCCTCGGTGTATAAGAAGAGCTCCAGAATGTTTTATCCCTGCCACTGCCGGATGTGTCTGGTTCCATTCTAGTGGATGTATGTATGTATGCTAGTGTGCCTCATTTGTTCAACTCAGTGGTTCTAGTCTCCTAGTAACTCTGACTACACTCCCCAACGTCACTTATCCAAGCCTTTGCTTATCCTGGCCTTGCAACCTAGACACCTCTTTCTCTTCAGTGATCTGAATGAAGCCATTTCCCTTCATACTCAGCACTAGGGTCTTTGGACCCTAGAGTCTTACTGCATGTACTGTTGGGGTTAGCCTTGTGCTACTGCAACAAAATACCTGAGGTAAGCAATTTAAAGAGGAAAGGTTTATTCTGACTTAGTTTTGAAAGTCTGAAATCTGTAAACCCTGTTGGTTTGGCCCTGTGGTGGGCAAGGCAGTATAAACTGGTAGAGGAAGCTGCTTACCTCATGACCACCAGAAAGCAAAGAGAAAGAGGAAAGACACAACCAAATGACCCAATTTCCTCTCACCAGGCCCCACAGCTTAAGGTTCCATCAACTCTCAACAGGACCCCAACTAGAGCTCTGTGGATAACTTTTTGTTCAAGGGATTTTTGTTGTTGATGGTGTTGGATGAGACTGTGCATCCCTTTTCCCTCCTTGAGGCCAAGCTGACACCAGGTTGTCATAAGCAGCTGTTGCAGAGACAGAACTCTGCTCTGTGAGTCAGTCCTTTACCTGTGTCCTGAAGATCCTAGGTCAGTTTTCTCTTGTTTTAAGAAAGCTGTTACTGTAGCCATTTTTTTAATGTGGATTTTTTAAAATTGGAAACAATGCATAGGTGTGGCAATGTTTTTAAGTGAAATAAACAATTGTCCTGACCCTAAATGTCCTTTGAGCCTAGATAGGAAAATAGAAATGAAGTCAAAGGGACTTGTGAACTTCAAGAAAATTAAATTTGGCTCAAGCACGGGTTACCCAATCTCTTGATGTTATGCTTTTAAGGCTTCCGGTATTTTGAGTGAGCTAGAATTTGTCCTTCATGCCTGTGATGTTTTGTTTACATTGGGGGTGAGAAAGGGACAGAGTTGGAATGTATCTCAGCAGCTTCTGAGAAATTCTGGGTAGTGGGTAGTGTTTGCCACCACCCCAGATAATAGCTGGGTGAAGTTTTACAAATTCCCAGGAGGACATGAAAAGAGCAGGTCTCCAGGAGACTCATTCTGGTAATAGGGATGGATGAGAGGGTGTGTTTCAAAAGTCCATTGGAAATCATGGTGATGGAATTCAGAGTGATTGTCCCTGAGGCTTTACAGCCTGGGGATTTGGCCTGCTGCGAACCACGACCTCTGCTGAGTTTTAACCCAGTCACAGTGCCTCCCCTGGGGATACAGCTCCACATTAACCTGCCACTTGAAGTGTGGGAAAAAAGCACCAGAATGTGGAGGTTCCTGGCAATCAGTTGGCTAATCCAAATAATTTTAAAATAGTCCTTCATAAGAGTTCCATTCCAGCCAGGTGTTGGTGGTGCTTGCCTTTAATCCCAGCACTCGGGACACTGGGAAGGCTGAGGCAGGCGGATCTCTGTGAGTTCCAGGCCAGCCTGGTCTACAGAGCAAGTTCCAGGAAAGTCTCCAAAACAACACAGAGAAACCTTGTCTTGAAAACAAACAAACAAACAAACAAACAAAAAAAGGAGTTCCATTCCAAAGCAAGATGACTCCATCTACCACAAGCTAAATGTAGCCCAGACCACGTGGACACTATTGCCATAGTTGCGATGAGAAGGTTCCTGACTAAAGTCATTGACACACTGACCTGTGCAGGATGGTCTTTTGCCAGAAAGAGGTCATGAGCTTCTGCACTGGCAGAGGCTGGAAGGGGAGGGAGGGAGAGAGACAGGCAGAACACCTCAGGAGAAGGGATGCAGAAAGGGAGGGGGGAAAGAATGAATGATTGAATGAGAGGGAGGAAGAAAGGAAAGGAGCAGAGAGGGGCCGCTTCTAGTGGTACAGTCTCTACCACCCCTCAGACCATGAGTTGCAAAGGTTGGCTTTGGGTAGCCAGGCTGCTCTTATCTCCACTTTCATAGATAATGGGGTGGTCACATAAAGCTCTTTGACAGCCTCATCTGTTCATTTTTAGAGAGCATGAACAGCAAATCCAGGTTGTGTGGCAGCTGGTTAGATGGTTCAGCAGCTAAGTGCACTTGCTGTTCCTGCAGAGGACCTGGGTTCAGTTCCCAACACCTACAGGACAGCTCCCAACCATCAGTAACTCTAGTTCCAGGGAATCTAATGCCCTTTTCTGAACTTTGCAATCACCAAGCACATAGTACAGATATATACATGCAAGTGAAACACTCATATATATAAAATAAATATACCAAAAATAAAAATGTTTTAAAACAATGAGGGACATTTCTTCATTCAATGACCTCTTTGGAGAAAAAAAAATCTTGGAACAAATTCCAGGTTGGCTTGTAATTGTTATCAGTTTCAGAATTCCCCCACTATTTATTTTATAGCTTTCTAGATGAAATTTAATTACATCTGGCATCTTCCCTACATCTACCACTAGTGACAACAGCTTTTGAAAACAAAAATGCTTAGTGAAATGCTCTATGAGAACAGTTACTTTTGTGGTTAAATCTTAAAACTGTCTGTTTAGAAGACAGCTACAGTGAGAGCATTTAAAGGTTACACGATTGTTGTCTGACTTGAGCACAGAGCTCACTCTGGCCCAGACCACTGCTGGGCTGGAGGTAGCCCTGAACAGTGGTTTAAGGTATGGATTCTGAAGATGCACGGCTCAGCAGAGAATGGCACATGACACATACAGAAGCTACGGAAGTGTTTGTTAAGCATAAAGGAAAGAGACTGAGGGATGACAAAGTGCTTGCTGTACACGTATGAAGACCCGAGTCTGGATCGCCAGTGCTCTATAAAACAAAACATCCCCAGTAAGTATGGGGCAGAGAGAAGAGGACTCGAGGCAGCAGATAACAGATGCTTAGAGGTATAGTTATATCCATATTGGGTTATATTTATCTCAGACCTTTGGTTTTACAGCTGGTGATGTACATTGGTCAGGTAGCCAAGGACATCCTGAAGTGGCCCCGGCCCTCGTCCCCTCCCGTTGTGAAACTTGAAAAGAGAGTGGTTGCAGAATACGGAATGCCATCCACCCACGCCATGGCAGCCACTGCCATTTCCTTCACCCTCCTCATCTCTACCATGGACAGGTACCAGGTAAGGCGGAACCCCATTTATATTCCCCCCAGACTCACCTCTAATTGTAGAATGAGGAAGAGAGAAGGGAGCATTCGGAATTTCTCTTAAAGCTGCTTTGAGGGACATTAAGGTTTATGAGATAAAAAATGAAAGGAGTTTGGAACCTACAGGGATGTAGATAATGTCTTCAAAAAGGGACTGTCTAATTTAGCACCCAAATCAGCTTATGCCTTTGGGTGAGGATGAGCCCAGAATGGACAGCATAGTGTGGGCTGCCTGCCGTCATCTCCCCATGAACTGTTTCCCTGAGCTGTTGCCTAGACAGACGTGCAACAGACACAAAGGGTTTATGATCTTCATAAATGATCCTCCAGGGCAAAGACGATCCCACCAAATCCTTCTGCCAGACTCTGCTGGCCTGGGGCAGAAGAGGGTCAGGTACCCCAAATTACCTTCCAAGGATGACTCTGCCGCTGGTTAGGGACCAGTTATTAGAAATGATGCCTTCTTTTTTTAGAACCATATACATGACAGGAGATTAATAAGTGTTGAAAATAGAAGAATTTCATTTAATATCTGCTTAGATGATAATTATAGTAAGATCTTTTCAAAGTTACGAGATTGCTGCAAGGAAGATTTTTTTTCTGTTATTAGAGACATGATGCTTTAACTTGGAGTTTAATTTCATAAATTGTACTCACTAGCTGTTGGAAGTTCTAGATGTCATCAAATCTGGTGGTCTTGTAGCTAACTGGAAACAGTGGGTCACCATGTTCTTTACCTCAGATAGCCCCAACTGCTCCATACTCCAGGGTTCTTCATTTAGCCAGCATGGTTGGAAGAGGCCAGGACTGGGTCAGAGCTCACTCCACCTCTAGTCTTCTTCCCAACCACATGGGCAGAGATTCGTTTCCTCAGTGGGACAAGCACATTCCTAAGGATTGTATCCAACGGGCTGTTTGAGTGCTGTGTTGTAACTTGTTGAAATGCCATGCCGGGACCCAAAAGTATCTAGGGTCCCCAGACTTGGTTAAGTTCACAGCGACTTTTGAGCTGCATTTCATACATACTGCTCTGCCCAGCAGGACACAGCGGGCCCAGTCCCGTATGCAGAGGGTTCTCTGTACACAGAGAGAGCTGCTAATATGCTGTTATTTAGGACAAAGATCATCAAGGACAGAGCATCGTAGAGGCAGGAGTGCATGGCAGTGGAGGGTTTGCAAATCCAGCTGGATGGGCAGTGTAGGGCAGAGGGGAGAGCTCATCTGGAAAGGCCTGCCTGAGTGCCCTAGATCCATTGGGGTGCTCCTCCTAAAGTGTACATCACCAAATGTACATCAAACAGCGTCAGACTACAATGACCAAACATTCCTCTGGTGGGGCATTTCATGTTGAAACCAAAGTGCACGACTATTTCCAAATTGAATGTCATTCTCACCCACTGTGAGGAGAAGCTGGCTTCAGGAAGAGAACTATAACAGTTTAAACACTCACTTCAAAATATTCCTGTTCCCATAAATATGAACATAAGTTCATTCTGACACAGCCTCTAGGTCACTATCTTGCCTAGAAGTCCGAATAGTCCTTTAAAGCTATACAATTAAGATCTTTCTGGCTCATGTGATGTGATAGTCACCCTACAGCCTGAAATGTGATTTCTTTCTAACTTAGCTTTTCATGATAAATACACTCAGCTACTTGAGTTTATTTACTCACAAATAGCTCTAAATGTGGGCTTGCTTATTTATTTGTGCATTGAAGTTAATACCTGAATGAATAAACTTATTCACTTTAAATACTTTCTGATGAAAATCTAAAACTAAGTCCATGAAAAATCATTAAAGAGAAACTGCCAGGGAGGGTACGTACACTTGTTACCCCAGCACTCAGGAGACTGAGATAGAAGGATCATGTTTAAGGCCAGCCTGGGATACATAGATCTTGTCTCCAAAAAATAACCCATACATATGTACGTACGTATATATGTCTGTATATATTTTTTAAAGAAGATATTTTTAATCAAATGTTACCAGACTCAGTGTGACCTGGGAAAGAACAGAAGATAATGACTCCTGGTTCTGACTGAGCCACTGGCTGTGTGACTTGGAGCACATCTTTCTGGCTCCTATTGTGAGAAGCAAATGTCATGACTGACTATGGCCATGATTTGCCAGTGTGGCCATAGTATCAAGCATCACCGTTTATACAACAGGACTGATATGGAACCTGTACCCTAGGGTCGTGTGAAGACCTAGTGAGCGGGCAGATCAGTACTGTGTCTGCTGCAGATGCTGGTGTATTTGTTCACATAGCTACAGATCAGCACATCAGTAATCAAAACAGGTGTATCATCATATGTCTATGTCCTGGTTATACAGAATATCTTTGTAATGCAGCAGGCTCCACCAGAACCTCATTGGGCTGCCCTCCTTAGGAAGCCGGAAGTATGAGGAGCATTCTGTGTGGTCATAAGGATTGGTCATCAGGATGTAGATGATAACTCAGATTCCAGTATTCAATAAATATTTGTTAATTTTATTAACAAATAAATAAAGAGTAAAACGCCAAACCCTAGTTCTTCTGTGTTGTTTATGTGTTGGGAAACTTTCCCCCAGAGCTGTATTTCTAGGCATTTTCTCCTTACCTGGCCTGATTTTAAAATGTTTTCAGATGATTAGATTGCTGGTCTAGGGAAAATAAGATTCAGACTAGCAATTATGTGCAGTGAATCCCATTCCCAGCTGCGACATCAACTCAGTTAATTCTGACCAGAGTCGTGGGTACTCAGGAGAAATCACAAGAGAAAAATCACAAGTTCAAGCCAGACCACCAGTAACCTAGAGACTGTCTCACAGGAAAAAATCAAATAAAAAGGGGCTCATAGTAAAATGCCTGCTTAGCTCAAAATTCAATCCCTAATAACACACACACACACACACACACACACACACACACACACACGAGAGAGAGAGAGAGAGAGAGAGAGAGAGAGAGAGAGAGAGAGAGAGAGAGAGAGAGAAGCATTCATCTGAACATGAGCTAATATCTTTATTTTCTCTTCTCATCTGCAGTACCCTTTTGCTTTGGGCCTGACAATGGCTGTGGTGTTCTCTACATTGGTGTGTCTCAGCAGACTCTACACTGGAATGCACACCGTCCTGGTAAGACTGTGGGGACAGGCTTTGTGACTGAACGGCCTTTGGTCTGGGTGTCCATGTGTACCTTAAGCTGCTTACTGAAGCTTGGCTCATTGGTGTGTATACCTAGAATCCCAGCTGCTTGGGAATCTGAGCCAGGAGGATCACAAGGTCTGTGCCACACAGAGATTACTATCTCAAGGTAAAAAGAGGGCTGGAGGCTGCAGTGTCCTGAAGGACTTGTTAGATGGGGCAATGAGGGAAGGGAGAAATGAGAGATGCTGCAGAAATGACAGACATTCCTAGAGAAAGCTGGGATCAGGTGAGCTATGCTCATCCTGATGGAGTTAACACCTACTAAGCTAGATGGTTGGCACAATGTAGTCTGAAGTCTCAACAAATAACCTCTTCTGAGGAGACCTAGGAATGACAGGATGAAGAATGGGCATACAGATGTCAGGAATTAGTCTCAGTGAGAGATCTCTACAGGGGAACAGTTTCATGGGGTGGGGTGGGGAGGCTGTAGTTTCCTGTTATTACACTCACTGTCAACATCAGAGGAAGACTGCTGTTTCCATGGGTCTGAAGCATTAAGGTCCTGGACTTAGCCATACCTGTAAAGAGAAGCTTTTTCTTGAGAGGAACCTTCCCGCCCGCCTGGTTCCAGATCCGCATCAGTCCCAAATAAACACACAGGAGGCTATATTCATTATGAAGCTGTTGGCCTTCCTTGTTTCTTACTAGCTAGCGCTGACTTAAGTAATTACCCCATAATTGTTAATCTAAGTATGTCTCTTACCGGAGAATAGTTCCAGGCTTCCTACCCCCATGGCGTTACATGTTGACTCTCTGTGTTTCTCCTTCCCAGAGTCCTCCTGGACTCCTAGTCCCTCCTATAGGCTCAACAGTACTTTATTGAAAAATGCACAGGACTTCCCCCAACATCTCCTCTTTTCTGTTTAAACAAAAAGAAAGGTCTTAACTTTAACACAGTCAAATTGTGTATAACAGAACAGTTATCAAATAAGAACATAGTTACAATATTTTAGCAAGATTTAAAGAAAATTTCATCCATCCCATCCTTGTGAGTCCAAAGTTCTATATGTATCTTTTATCATAACTAAGGAAAACTATAATTATAACTATCTATCTTCAACTCCATCAAATACCACAGAAGGATAATATATAAACACTAGGATTGACAGAGACATCTTACTGCCTGGACAGTCACCCGAAGCTCCTCTGTAACGTTGGGGCATCCATCTTCAGCCCATAGGCCATAATGTGTCTGGAACACTTCTCAGCAAAGCAGGAAATTTCAAACTGTCCATCTGCGCTGGCAGTCTGTCAGTCATTTTTCTTTGTCCTGTAGAAAGTCTGGTAGACACTTCCATGAAGCAGGAACCCTGTAAGACTGAGTTTAGCAGTCACTTTTCTGTGGGTCCTGCATGTCCAGTTTATACAGCAACAGTCAGTCTAGGCAAGAGCAGTTTCTTGCCCAAATGGCTAATCTTGCCATGTTGAAAGCAAACTCCATAACGAGTTTCTTCGATGCCCACCTTCCTCTCAGACGTAATTGGTGCTGCCAGGAGCAGACATTTCTCATTGTCAAGAAAAACCCTAAACCATTTTAAATGCCATCTTCTGAAGGTCTTTGAAAGGTTTGAAGACTGTTTATCTATCCCAAATATATTTCTGTATATCTAGAAAACCTAACTTACCTAACTATAAATTCCATTATAAGTAACTACCTATAGTCTGCATTCAATCATGCATTACGTTTCAAAGGATCTGTATAAGCACAATACTTAATCAAGAGGAGAAATATACACATCACAAAATTGACCTTGAATTTATATCAATAAATGAAAAACAATACCCATACCATAATTCCCCTTTTTACCATTAAAAAGAGAGTGGTTGTGATCATTAACCAATTATAAACAATCCCATTTAAATGAAAACAAAGATTTATAAACAAGATGGGAATTAGGACGTTGCTCATTCCAAACTGCTTCATGCTGGAAGGGGGCGCTGTTCATACCATGGGGATCATGACAAAACTCAGAAACCTGTATAAGTCCGTATTTTTGGGGTCTGTAAAACTGCATCATCTTAGCTGTTTCAATTGTTGGAACATCTGATCCACTGCTTCCGGGGGTCTTGGTTCGTCAAACCACAGAAGACTGGAAGGAATCCTCAGCTTTTCATTTTCTGTGGAAACATAAACTAAAACTCCTTTTCCGAGTAACATATCCTTATACTTAAATTTTGAAGTCAAGGCATTTTCAAAAGATAGAAAAGATAAAAAGAAGAAAAAAAACCCAGCAAGGTTGTTTTAAGAGACTCTGCTAACGATTGAAAGGTGTGTACGTACCGCTGGAAGTGGCAGCTTTTGCTGGATGTCAGCATGGACTGAGGCGGTAAGCTGGAATCACGCTTATGCCCGCCATCTTGAAAAAAAGCCAGTTTAAACTGCCGCGGTTTTAACAGATAAGACACGTGGCCAGAAAAACATAAAGATTTACAGTAAAGTCAGACTTGGATGAACAAAACCTCTAAAGGTTTACAGTGTGTTTAAAAATATACGTGAGATTGAGAGAGAAAATGAAATGGCAAAGTGGATATAAATACAAAAGCCGGCGTTGTGGTGGCGCACGCTGGTAGGACTTACTCCAGAGGCAGAGGCAGGTGGATTTCCAAAGAGAAACCCTGTCTCAAAGAAAAATAAATAAAAGTGAAATAAATAAAGTAATAATAGATAAATAAATAAGCCACGTAAAGATGAAAAATACACAGAGAGTCTGGATACTGTATGCTATTGTGTTTTTCAGTTTTTTGATTGCTAAGGAAGGAACAGCTGCTAAAGTACACTTGATTATAAATGCTGCTGAATTAATCCAACTTCTATCTTTTGAAAATGCACAGGACTTCCCCCAACACATACCAACTACAATAACACACACTCAGAACTTCATTGGCTCCTTACAACTCACTGAGGAGTTCCTCTGCAGGGGTGAGCCCACAAAGCTATCCGCCCCTTGGGATCACCTCTACATTCCTCTTTTCCCCACAAGAGATATGTCTCAGTGGCAGAGCCCTTGTCTTCCACGCTCAAGGTCTTGGTTCAGTTCCTATTACTGCAAAATCAATCAATCAATCAATCAATCAAGGAAAGTCTCAGAAAGAGGGAAGGGAGGAAGGGAAGGAAAAGGGGAAGGGGAAAGGAAGTATTAAGATAAAGCCAGGCTTGGCAGGACACACCTATAATCTCAGTATTTGGGAGATGAAGGCAGGAGCTTGAGGTTAGCTGTAGGTACATAGTGAGTTCCAGGCAGACTTGGGGGTACATGAGATTCTGTTTTGAAACAAAACAAAATATATTAAAATAATGCTACCAGGGTGAAATGCATTAGTTACTGGAAGTTGACACTTTCAGTAAGACAGAATATCTTACTGAAACAACTGAAGGGAGGAAATATTTTGAAAGAGTATTCTCCATTGTAGCAGGGAGACATGGTGGGATTCTTGGAGGCAGAAGTGTATGGATGGGACCCCCTCGACCCTACCCCACCCTAGCATTCCAGGAGTCAGAGAGAGGCTAGGCAAGAAGCAGACTCAGACTACAACCTTCATGGCTCTCCAGCAATCCATTTTAGACCATCAGACCCCACATTCTAAGGTTCCACAACTTCGGAAAATAAGTCCCACAAGCCGGAGACTAAGTGTTTAAACACACACATATTCAAACCATAGTATGGAGCTAGAGTCAGACACTGAAGACAGCCTAAGGGCAGCCGGGACTCGGGCAGTTTCTTATTAGGTCTGTTCACTACTGACACGACAACTAGGGCAGAGCAAGCACCCGAGCTCAAGGATGCGAGCGAATTCACATGGTCACAGAGTTGACCAGAGATACAGGGGTCCCCGTTGTCCTCGGCTAGTCAGGGGGGTTGCAGTCATAGCTTCCTTTCTTTGTATGCTGTCCTAGGTTAGAGATGGTGTTGGAATCAGAGAGTTGCATACGCATTTGGAAGTCGGCCCACCTTCCATATTGCAATTGTCCCCCTCCAGCATTACCGCTGTTAGTGTGGTAAAAAGGCCTTGAGTATTCAGGGACTAATGCATCATCCAGCCAGGATGCTGCAGAGCATAGAGCATAGTCATGGTTGGCTACAGGGGCACCATTTCTCATGCCACTCTGTACAAGAAAGATGCCTTTAAAAATAAATGAGCTTTGATTGTTGTATTCGTCTCAGCTGTGAAACTGCAAGATGACATTAGCAAAAGGCCTCGTCAAGGAAGGCCATCTTCCCAGACCTTTTCGAGTTTCTCCGGGTGCCAGGAGTGAGTTATCACTTAACAGTGGAAGGAGGGATCATCATGGGAGAATGTAAAGGGGAGGCCAAATGGGAGCTGCTGGAAGCATCGGGTGAGGCAGAGAAGGCATGAAATTAAGTGGGCAGCAGGCTGGGATGAGGTTCAGATGGGGACATGCTTGCCTCGCGTGCACAAGCCCTTGTCTCCAGCACCAGTACCGAATAAACCGGGGGCGTGGTGGTGCCCACCTGCAACCCCAGCACTTGGGATGTGGTGGCAGAAAGATCAGAAACTCAAGGTCGTCTCAAGTTACATAGCCAGTTCGAGGCCATCCTAGGCTACAAGAGAAATTTTTTTATAGTTCATGTTAATATTTTTATTTAAAACAATCTTTTATTACCAACCCCAATTCTCTCTCCCTCCCATTCTCGCACTCCCTCCCCACCTTCCCCCCACTCCACCCGCTGTCCACTCCTCAGAGAGGGTGAGACCTCCCATGGGGAGTCAACAAAGTGTGTCACATCACATTGAGGCAGGATTAAGGCCCTCCACCATAACTAGGCTAACAAGATATGCTCCAAAAAGTCAATTCATGCACCAGGTATAAATCCTGGTTACACCAGCAGTGGCTCCACAAACTGTCCAAGCCACACAACTGTCACCCACATTCAGGGGGCCTAGTTTGGTCCAATGCAGTTCCCCAG